AATAAATTCCAACAGTCAAAACTAGTACAATTATAACCTAAATTTAAGGAACTCTTCTGGAACACACAACTTATTAAATTATTATTATTTGCTGAACAAAAACGTGGATGGATATAAATCATTTAGCAATAAATTGTGTTTTAGTGATTCATTACAACGGTGATGATGATAGTATCTGTGTAGACCACACGCTATATCGTAAATATCTTCACGATATTAGAAAAACACGTAGGTTCAAGAAGTCTCAATCGAAATGAATAAAAAAACTCTATAACCCGGGTGCTTTCGAAAGGTGGATTTTTCTTCTTCAGGGGGCAAACTAGGAATATAAATATATTTGTAGACCACACGGTGTAGTAGCATCAATAATTATTTGTCTGTTTTTATCATATCAAAATTTAACTTAACACGTGTGTTAATTCTACCAATAATGATGTGTGTTGTAAAGGATGTACTTGATAATATTTCTGTTGAAAACCTTATCTCGTATGTTGTGTAGGACTCCTCTACTTTATCAAAATTACTGATCGTGTGAACTATTTACGACTAGCGTTTTAACTTTAAATTGCATATACTTCTTACGTAAGCGTTTTTGCTATTTTTATGACAAATTTGTTACCCCCCACCCATTCCTCGAATTTGTTTTTATCGGTAGAATGTTAGACCAGTCCGCCATTGACACGAGTTAAATTCTGAAATCTACAAACATTTGGAAGAATTAAAGTAAAAACAGTTTACTTTAAAAACTATGTTCCTCGCAGAGCTCTGGTTAGAAGGCGATCCAAACCTATCACCATGACAGCGGGTTGTCTGAAATAAACAAGCAGGAATTCCCTGAGTGGACGCCTGGGAATGTGTATAAAACGGTTAGGCCTTATTTCAACGAACGTTAGAATCTCACTACACGTCAAAAGTAAGACTGTCTATCGCACGTGATGTGAACGCGAAAATATACAACATACAGAACGTGCTTTGGCCTTGGGTATATACATAAACTTTTCAACACAACTTGTGAAAGACTTCGAGATTTTCTCACGTCTAAACCCTCGAATTTCCACTTAATGTTAACAGATATTAACAAGTCTTACAACATCAGTGAAAAAAACAAAAAATATTCAAGATATTACAAAAGTGTTTTTATTAGATTAATACAGTCCATTTAATACTAATCTGGAGCACGAGGTGATCACGTTGTTGGGACGTCAGTGTACACTGGTGTACCTGTGGCTTTCCAGAGGGCGTGTTGTTCTCATCAAACACGACTAACTGCCTCCTATATTAGAGAAACATTAAAGTCAACTGGAAGGGTTGACCTATAGCTAACCTCGGTTCCGTTACTGAAACCCCAGCGGAGCTACCTTTCTCAGTGAATGGGCCCGGCATTGCCAGGTGGTTAGGGGGCACTCGACTCGCAATCTGAGGGTCGCGGGTTCGAATCCCCGTCACACCAAACATGCTCGCCCATTCAGACGTGGGGCGTTATAAGGTAACGGTCAATCCCACTATTCGTTGGTAAAAGAGTAGCCCAAGAATTGGCGGTGGGTGGTGATGACTAGCTGCCTTCTCTCTAGTCTTACACTGCTAAATTAGGGACGGCTAGCGCAGATAGCCCTCGTGTAGCATTTTTCTCAACTATGTATATACTGAAGTGTTTTAGAGTCCACGACTTTGTCGGTTACAAGGTTCCTAATGACGTACGAGGAGACAAAATACCATCAATATTGCAATTAATACAATTAATTAGATTTTTTAAGACTCATAACGTAGGTAAATTAATATGTAGAATTATACACGGACTTCTCTACAGTAGAATACTTTTATTTGCCAGCTTTTGACCTGCGAGAAACTATGTGTTTTTGCTTGTCATAACATTCAATGCATTTTTACTTATTTTTGAAGTTTCGCCCCAAGTTCTACGAGGACCGTCTGCGCATAATTTTGAACAGATAGGCTGGAAGGAAGGCAGCTAGTCAACAGCACGTGAATCCAGCTCTTGGGGCTACTCTTTTTCAGACCAAATAGTCAAATTTGACCGCTATTTTTGTACTGAAACTACGGTCCCAAAATACGGAGTGCGTTTTTTTTCAGCGCTGCTACATTAACAACTAGGATACGTCAGGCCTCACTCAGTGGAAAGAATTGACCTAGAAAACTTGGTGAAACTAACCATTCTACTCTAGTGGGATTAAGTGCAATATTTACAATACTTTGTTTACACGTGTGTCTCGTGTTATTTGGGTCTTGTAACCAGTAAAGTCACGAACCCACAAACAATTTTGGGCATAAACTTTTTAGAACAATATGTTTCAAAACAGGGTCTCCTTCAGTAATTTTAGGGTTAACCGTCTCTTTTAGTGAAATATTGGACGTATATCTGTTACAAAAAAAAAACATTTCTGCTAACCTTGAAATTAAAGTTAATTAATTTGAAATTGCAAACTTTTTTTTTATTTGTTTTTGCAACCCGAAGAGTGTTTATCAATTATTTTGTTCAAATTCTGGAATGGACTGAATGTGGCTCAGTGGATAACGTTCTGGACTATGGATATACAAATACAACATTCACGTCCTGTTAGAAACAAAAAAATAAAAATTTAAAAAATCGCGCTTTGAAATCATGGGTGTGTTATAAGTGTGAAAGTCAGATCCTACTATTCAATGTGTTTTTGTTTTGTTTGTTTGAAGTTAAGCACAAAGCTACACAATGGACTATCTGTGCTCTGCCCACCACGGGTATCGAAACCCGGATTCTAGCGTTGTAAGTCCGCAGACGTACCGTTGTGCCACTGGGGGGGCTTATTTAATTATATCCCTGAATAAGCTATAAATACGATATAAATACTTAAAATAAAATATTATTAAAGTTATGTACCGGTAGAAAATGTATTCTACTCGACTTTAAACTAGAATGTTTCAAAGGTTTAAATAAAACAAGAGAAACACAAACACCTTTGGAATTAATATAGAACACGAGTAACAAACGAGCGTTGAACTTCGTACTTTCGTTACATTTTGACCTCTAAAGTTCAAAGTGCATACACATTTCTTACCTAGCCTATAGACCTGAACTTTCTACGATGTTTTGTAGGTCATTTCCCTTGTAATCAGGGTCAACATCAAGGCAGGACAAGACGGGCGATCGCTAGTTGGGATACTAAATTTTTAACGTGCAAAATTGATATATATTTAACTGATACACTAGACGGAAGGTTGCCACTCAACAGCGCCCACTGCCAACTCTTGGGCTATTCACATCGAATAGTGCCCCCCCTAGTGGCACAGCGACATATCTGCGGACTTAAAACGCTAGAACCGGGTTTCGATACCCGTGGTGGGCAGAGCACTGATTGCCCTTAGTG